CACTTTGCAGCATACACAATACACATATAACATATATGGTAGTGAATATATAACTTTATAGTTCTGGGTTTGCGGAAACTACATGGACACTAAAAATCAACTATTGGTTCTAACCTATAATACCTGCAAAAGCGATAACTAGTCAGACAACACTAGTCGACTTACAAAGATTTTTTACTAAAACCATCATAATATAATGCATATTGTGATATATAGTTTTATTACATTAACATAAAATTTTCATTGAAATATTTTAAAAATGTAACTACCTGCAGTTTTTAGTTTTATAATACACTTGATAACCTACTATTCATCTATTCACTACATTATAATAAATATAAACAATTAAACTATCATTATTGTTTTATAATTGTTCTTTTAAATTTTAGTCACTCTGAATATTTATGTTTAAAAACCTTGATACGAAAATACTATGGTATCAAATAATATCAAATAATTATTTAATTAAAAATAATATATTACCGAATTTATACATAAATGTAACGTAATTATATTAGTGTGTCATTACTTATTTTATTACCAAAAAAATAAATTAAGTAAGTAGTAAATTCAATAGCAAACATTGACTACCTATAGCATGATATGATTCAAATTATCGAAATTAATAGTTAAATAACATATTTAATTTAGTTGGTATTTTGCTTTAGCTGGTCAAATGTAAGAAATTCCCAGCACTTCTTAAAATCGTCGAGAAAAACAAAAAATGTATGTTAAACAGAAATTTACTAGCTAAACCAGTTTTTAACAAAATTTATATCTTTCTTTTATTATAATTCAAAATCGAATAATTATAAAAACTTAATATTTTTTTATATAGATGATAAAATTTTCTAAATATTTTTAAGCTATTTAATAAAGGCACTAGAAATTTTCAACTCATCCCTACAAATGTTGATATCAAATGTTCATAAGTTATTATTAATTAATACTAAAAAAATAAGTTAAGCATAAATCCACAAAAAGTTTTTATAAAGATGTAAAGTTAGAATTTTAAAAAATGTCGTTAAAATTACGAAAACATCAAATAAATATATCACTTAGTAATATAAGCTGTTAAGCCGTTTCCGCTCATAATCATTTATCATATACAATGATATATTATGGTATCCAAATTTAACAGATCTATAATAATGATTCACTCAACATTCAATGTATAACAGAACGGTACCCATTTACCAACATTTTTAATTTTTTTTTTTTTTTAACTTATAATATGTTGTTTACAGCATCTGCGTTTAAGTCTCCAAGTTAGGAATAATTAACCTAATAAGTTGAATAATTAATTAATTAGAATGGAGCATAAAATTTAAGTGTTAATGAAAAAGTTTAGTTATTGTGTTGATGTGTAAGTCTGAATAAAAGGTTTTGTTAGAGACGCGTAATTGGTGCATATATTATTTTTGAAAAAATAAATATTGAAAAGCTTAATTTTTTTTTTATTAAATAATTTTATAATTCTTTAAATTTGTGTACCCTAACCCCAAATTAATATTAAATATTAATAAAGTTGTATGAATTTAAAAAAACCAATAAATATTTGTTCGAATGTTGAATTTGGATAATTTATCCAGAAGATGGTATAGAAAGCTTTTCGGCGATTATTGAACATAGTAGCTACAAGTTTGAATAAAGTTTATTGAAGCACAAGTAATTGCTTTTCCAGAACAAGATGAAAATAACAAACACTGTTAATGATTAGAAATATAAATTCTATTAGTAAAAGCATTTTTGAAAATCAAATGGATCGTTAGTTCACGTATTATTAAAATTAAATTACTTATTATATTTTATACGTACATACTATAATATTTAATAGTTTGTTAGGGGTGCAACTAGATTAGAAAAAAGTACACTACATGCGAGATGCAAGTTACTTATCCCTTTTTTGAACCTTTTATTTTATTGAAAAGCAACTTACCTATAGGCTATAATTTTTGACGCAAGTAATATACATCGATACAGTTTATCTGCACAAAAATAAAAAAGTGTAGTAATTATTTAGTGTTTGGTTTAATTTTCAGATTCCGTAGAAATGTGGAATATTGTCCATATACCATCTGTGAACTTTGCAATTAATTTTATGCAAAATCGTCGGAGAAACGCACATGGAAATTTAATAAAAACGTACAATATTCACACACTAAAGTAACCAAACCACTTAACACGATGACGTGTTGACCGAATACGCGATACGCGGATAAAACGTATTCAAATTTCAGGAAACATCCGAATAGGAAATTATTCATATTTCTTATATGCCTTTATATATATATATATATAAATACTTAATAATAATGTCATGCCGTTGTAATAAATTACGAAAAAAAAAACTCTCTATTTGTCTCTCTCTTTCTGATCGAGAGATAGAGAAAGAAAGAAATATGGTGTTATTGTGTCAACCACCGTTGCAGCAGTTTATAAATATTTCGCGAGATTCGGCAAGGTCGCAATATTCGGTTGCGTGTCCGAAAAACAAACAAAAAACGACATCCCAATAATGTGTCATATCCATAAACAGCTTGAACATAATTTTTGTGATTTAATACGAAACATCAGAATTTTAGGATTTAAAATTTAAATTGCGTGTATAGTATACGACCAGTACGACACACTTTATATACCTATTACAAAATGTTAAGTATTCAGTGACCTGCGTTCACAGTGGCTAACATAGTGTATAAAAACTTGTTATTAATTTTTTTTTTTTTTTATTTTATATTTGATCTTAATCATTGAAAAATATATCTTAAATGCGTGCTAATCAAAATATAATTTATTTAAAGTTTAATAATATTTTAAATTTCAATCGTGTATGATTGATGGTTATCGTATCAATATACAACATACATTGAGTAGTATTTTAACAACATGTTTTTAGACGATTAAGAAATAAAATGCTTACGATAAAGTTCTTATTATAATAACTCTATAGTTATCCAAAATAATAAACTAAATTTCTTCACGATTGTATGGTAAATTATCAACGAAAGTATTATAAGAAATACATTTGGTGAATATACTTAAAATAACTGAACATTGAACGGAGAAACTTCGAATTTTCACGTTGTAGTGGTTTGAATTCAATTTATCGAATTACCAAGTGTACTTAAATGAATGACTTTTATTTGAATTATCGCGAGATTTTCAAGAGAATAAGCATTATTACTTCTAATTACCGGAGGTTTAAATTATCGAGAGTCGACTGTACATAAAAGGTTCAATGTGAGCATATAAGTATTATATATATTTTATATTTGGAGGGTATTAATCAACAGTATCATTAAATGTGAGTTCGATTGATAAAGTTTACTCTTAAGTTATAAGTAATAAAATTGATTTTATAATAATATACACAATTTAAGTGTACTGTTATTGAAATCTATCATAATGCATTATTGCTATCATATTAAATACTGATATATTTTTTTTCACGAGATTCATAGCATAGCCATTGTATAGATACGAATATAAAAATAAACCATATACTATTTGATTATTTATTAATATATTATGCATATAAGGTGGTGGGAATTGGAAATTGTGTTCAATAATAAACTATCAATATAGGTGCCCATATAGATATGTGTCTTGCTCCTACACTTAATCGTATCCTACTTATCAATAATTATTCAATACATAATTATACACCATTCACTTCTCACATTTGTTATAGCCATTTTTGGACTAATGCCTTCCTCACATTTTGCTTTGTGGTTATTAAGTTGTATTACTATACGAAGTTAATAAACGAATATTGATTTTGAATCTCATAGAAATGCTGCAATGCCTACAAAACGAATTTTAGAATTGATTGACCAATTTTCTTATTATAATATATTTATTTATGTAATATGTCCACATTGGTACCTTAATAATTTAATTTCTCTTGCTTCCTCTAGCCTTTATTTACATTTTTTCACGTGTATAAGTTGTAATCATCGTTGTAATTTATTGTTTTTAGTTATCACGTATATCTGATAAGTATACAAGAATTTCACTAAACGTTTTTGCAGAACAATAAAAATCTCATTTTATCTTAATAAATTATGACGTCAATCGTCATATGGCAATAGGTCTGAATAAAACAGTGTTCGTATTGTTATCCATATATTTTATGGATAGAGTTGGCCAGTTGGATCGACACCGGTATACACATTTATAAACACTGCATAACATTCACACACATTACGTATTTACACATTCCAAACATTATAAATATTTAAAATGATTTTCTGTAGGCAACTTCAGTTTACTGTTAGATAGCATATATTAGACGAATAAGAAGTACGTTTATAAGAACATAAATTTGTAACCATCACGCGACTACTCATCATACAGGTCGAAAGTATATTTTCAGGAATTAATCGATATATTATTATATTTGTGCCCGGGTACTTATAACGTCTTAAACATTTCATTTGTAGGTGGATCCATCGCGTTTGTGGGACGGACGTGCATCTGCGCGTTTCCACAAACACTTCGCGGTACCTATCCGATCGTTTCGACGGTCCCGCATACTCTGATCCACACACATATCATCGGCGAATCGCGCGTGATTTAATATAAATTAAGTTATTGGAATCCGATAAATAATAGATCAAAGAGCTGTGCACAGTATGCAGACCGGACGATACTTGCAGCGAGGACATAGGTACGCGCATATGTGTGTGTGTGTGTGTGTGTGTGTATGTGTAAATGTATTACTCGCGTGCAGTGTATGTCGCCAGATAAATACTGCTCAAAACGGATGAGTTAAAAAAAAAATAAGATAAATAAAAAGAACGAAGGGGAAAAAATGCAGTCGTCCGGGCCGCGTGTGCAGACATGCTATTATCAAAGGTGCCGCTATATTCCCGTGAATTGCGGTTGGTAGCGGTTCCAGTTTCCCGCGAGGACCGGTTCCCCTACCCGTCGTCCGGTCGGCCAGTGGCGGCGGCAACGGACGTACGCGCCGCCGCCCGTGGTCGCGGTCCCGGTCTCCCGGCAGCGTCGCGTCGGCCGGTCGGTTACGCCAAAGAACCGGCCGCCGGTAGTAAGTAGTGTGTCTCCGCGGGTCTACGAAATACGTGCGCCGCAGCACAGGTGTCCGCGCTGCTACCACAGTAATAATACGTCGCATCGTACGCACGCGTAAATATCGCACAAACTCATTGCGCGCTATCGCCGGTACGACAACTGCTGTCGATTATCCCGCACGCAGAGCGCTGTTCCCGCGTCGTCGATTTATTGCGCTAGAGTGTCCGGCCGATTCCGGCACAGCGCCCGAGACATTTTTCCGGTCGGCGTTCCGATTTCCCGTCGCGCGTCGACGTCGGGCTCGCCGATTTCGGGATCGTCATTCGCTTCCGCGGGTCTCGATCCGCCGCGGTATCCGCGTGGTTGTCATCGCAGCCCGCAGCCCACGCGCCAGTAATGTGCGACCGGCGACGTGCGGAAAACCAGTAAACGAAAAGCCGATACATTGCTGCACACGTGACACGGGGAATATGATGATCGTTTTCGGGGGCCGAAAAAACGTTTGACCGAAGCACAGCGACCAGCGACCTCGCAAAGAGAGTTTGTACCGCCGGATACGATACCGCACAGACGTCAACGTCGTCGTAACTGTACCACCGAATTGAAACGTAAGTAGAGTTGTTGACAAATCGTCGGTGTTGCCGAAAACACATAATATTAATTATTATACGTCATCGTACACCTACGTTATTGTGATCAGTAAAACGAACCCTGTAGCTTGGCGCGACCGGGGTCCAGGACTACGTTCTACAAGACATGCCGAAATAGCCGACGTCTATGTGTATTTCGTCGTAATTCGTTGGCTGCGAGTGAAACAAAAGTTAGGAAAAAGAAATCATTGATCGTGGCTGCGGATCTACGTCATCAATTATCGCGGCCGCCGGGCACACGTCGTTTATAATATAAAGTATATATTCATAGATGTGTACTGATTTATAGATATTATATACTGCAGAGAAGGATAGAAAGAGAGAGAGAGAGAGTGAGAGAGTTTTGTTATAGTACCGCTCATCCACCGCCACCGCCTCCACCACCGGTATATGGGGAGGTGCCCTCGAGTCCAGCGCAAAAGTACGGTTTTTTGAGGCGTCTGGTTCGCGATGATAAATCTATAAACTTGCGTACGTTCGACGATGATGATGGTGATAATAAAATAATAATATATATTTGCAATAAATACGTCCGAAAGAAGGGCGGTGTGTATCCATTGATATTATACAGGTAGGTGTATGAAACGTAATCTGAACCCGACGGGTCCGCAAATACAACATTGCAAAATAATATGATCTACGCGCGGTATACATTATAATATGTTATTATCGCGCACCGATTTTCGTCTTCTTGATTGACGATTTCGATTCATCTTGCGCATTTACAACATTCGCGACCTCGTTCCGGTTATATGTTTTTCTTAGCTCTCAATGCTTTATACGTTGATGCCGCACAGTGCGTTACCACGGATACCGATGATCGTTAACCACTGTATAATGCACCTCGCGACGATTGTTTATTTGAGGGCACCGTCGCACCGACGTAAGAACGCCATTTAATCGACCAATCGTCCGATTTTTAGAAAAATCCCAACCTCGTTTTACAATAATTCCCTCGACGTTAACCGCGGGCACCTGCTCCCGACAATGGAAACCACAGCGGTCTGAGGTCAATTTTTGTCGCTCTCCGTTTTTGAATAAATACCGCACACAATTTTAGGACATTCAGAAAGATTTTCCGGTTCCGTTATATTTAATAATTTTATTATCATTACGATATGCGCATACCTATATAATATATATTATGTTGTATGCCTACCGTTTGTCACAAGGTTTCACTTTGCAGTGTATGTTTCGTTCGCCACGGGACAATAAATTATTAATATTTTCTTTCCAATTTCATTATAATAATATCATCACAGTGCTATATGAAATTGCAAAATATTATGTGCTCTTCTCCAGCATTGGATACCCACTACTAAAACTGTTATATAGGTAGGTATAATATTTTATATTGAATTATATTATATACACATGATATACCGGCTACTAATAGACACACGACTAATTGGCGTGTTACTTTTATTGTGTACACATTCCGTTACACGTATGTATCTCTGCAGTAGTGAGTAGTGACGTGTTGCCGGATACCTACTACAGCGATTCGAATAACACGGATATATTTTATTATTATTAGAACACGGCTTAAAGTTATAATGTGAGTTTTTGATTTATGTGATTTACGCTGCATAGCAATACTGGTTAATTGACTGCGGTTTCAATGATCAATGATCATAACGCGTTTCCATTACTACCCACATAATATTATGTATTATTATGTTTATAAGCTCTCACGGTATATAATATATTAATATTTATATATTACTTATTGGTGCATACTTACACCTAAAACTGAAACCAAACCAAAAATATCAAACATTATCTCATTGTAATATTCGAACTCGCATAACAAATCTACGACAATATCGGTTTCGTAAATTAAGTAAATTGTAAATTATCCAGTTATACGAATAGGTATTGATGCAACTACGTCGAAACTCGTTAATATAATATATTATCGATCGATATCAAAGCTTGCAATCGAATAGACGAATTAACGAGAAAATAATGTAGTTTACACGCTATAGCGCTTTTAAACTTAAATTTCAGCAAACCTCGAACGACAAACCATTATATTTTATTATAGCTAATCCTTTAAAATTGACCATTGCGGTTAGCCACACATCTGCGGTCCAACCCACTTTGTGTACCAGAGTATACACCATCATTACACTTAATATTTTATTTACAAATTACAAGTCAATTGCGCGAACCTCGTTAGTAATAGTAATAGTAATAGTAGTGGTAGTAGTAGTAGTAGAAGTAGTAGTAGAAGTAGTAGTAGGAGTAGCAGTAGTAGTAGTAGTAGTAGTAGTAGTAGTAGTAGTAGTAGTAGTAGTAGTAGTAGTAGTAGTAGTAGTAGTAGTATTAGTGATACACTGAATACACAGTACACTATTATTGAAACGTCATATAAAATTATAAACACAATTTCTTCCGGATAAAAAGAGCGATGTATTAGAGCGCCTCCTCCCCCTAGTGAAAAGTATTTGATTTGTAAATAGAGTTGCAGGGTGATAGTAATTTTTATATTTTTAATTCCTACTGGATTATAAAACAACCAAATCAATTTCGAAAAAACCTTCTTTTTTTTTTTTTATCACCCAAAAATGGGTTCAAATCGACGTAATTGACAATGTCCACAACCTGTGAGTTAGGGGTTTACACTATCAGTGCGCGGTGAATGCACGATATTATCATAATCGCGTATTTTGCATCTAGGCTTGTACACTTAATAATAATATGGAGAATGATGAATAACAACAATAGCCGAGATATTTTGTCGCTTTGCAATAATAACGACGGAATTCATGTGAAAAGAAAAACGAGTTTTTAATAGTTTGCCAAACTCATAACATCTCCCACCAAGTACGCTTGTATAGCAGCTGTGCCGCAAGTATATGATGCTTCACGTTTTCTTGAAGGGTGCGCCGCGCCGTGGGAAAACTCTATACAGCGTATGTATCGTCCGCATTGTGTGTGTGTGCGTGTGTGTGTGTGTGCGCGCGCACGCGTGTGTGTGTGTGTGTGTGTGTGTGTGTGTGCGTGCTGAGAGTCGATGCCCTGTCTGTGGTCACCTCTCTTCCGGCCCGGGCCGGCTCACGGGTTGTAGAATGCCGTTGGGTCAAGGCTATAAATGCTCCCGCCGCGGTGATCGCCATACAGACTCGCGCGCCCCGCGACGCTTTCGTAGGCCAATAATTCTCCCACTGCCGCCGTGCTCGTTGCCACTGCCTCTCCTCGCCATCTCGATCGCCACTGTATGTGTGTACGTGTGCGTGTGTGTTTGTGTGTGCATGCGTTTGTATATGTGTGTGCCACCTGACCTAAATCAACTTACCTGATCCGCCCGAGGCGTATAGGTGCACGCCGACGAAAAATATACGAAAGAAAAAATCGACAATGTATTATATACGTCCGCTACAATATCTACGACCAGCCAGCGGTAATCCGTACGCGCAAGACTTTCTGCCAGTCTTGTAATCATTTCCGACTCCACTTATTAGTCATACATATGCGCGCTCTTACTTGCACCCGCAGACATGCACACGCGTGTCCGGTGTGATGTTTTCAGAGCATAAAGCACGTAATTTCTATAATGTTTAATATACGGTCCGCCTAATTGTTTCCGACAATATACATACGTATAAATCTAATATTTTATGGTCCTGTGAGTTCAATACGTGAAATGAATTAATAAAGCGCATACCTCACTCGACACGAAGGATTTTTTATCTTTGTTATTGTTGTTGTTGTTGTTGTTGTTGTTGTTGTTATTTTCGTCAATATTATAGGTGTATGGCTAGAAAATAAGGCAGAAAACTAAAGAATGCGTGGTGCGTTAAGTGGAAAAAAAATTATCATGTATTGTATAATGGAGAGTTTGTACCTCAATAGTTAATCGTCCAATTGGATTTGTATGTATAACATGTATGTAGGTATTATATTCGACGGTGACTACTATATATACAAGAAATATATTTGAGAAAAGAAAATGAGTATTATCTGTCTATTAATTAGAGTTCCGGTGGGGATTTTAGATATTTTTGAATTCGGTAAAAAAAAAAAAAATGCTGTCTCCTGTAATCTGTAATCCGGTTAGGACATCAGACAGGTTTGATAATGTCAGCCCCGGGGCCCCCTTCCCGTACGCAATGTGCCCCGCACACACCACCACATTATAATATTATGTGCAACACACGCCCGGTGCTGCATATAGCTCATGTACGCACAAGAACGCACGCGCAAGAACTTTAGACGGTTCACAGCCGCCAGTTAATTTAAAATTCATAACAGGTCCGATACTGATTTTAAGAATGTCCGGAATTTGACCGACTGATGGGCACGCTTTCCAAATAATATTATAATATGTATGTGTCTAATGTTACAAACACGCGCGCTCTTGGGATGACGTCACCTGCTGCGTGGTAAGACCATCATCCGCCACTGACTGAAGCACAACTTTATGACGATATTCGATCGGATATTTGACTTGTCTTACAACGTAGGTATTATCTGGATATTGGAAAGGGAGATCATAACTAATGTTCAATCAACTTATTTATAAACATTTTATAGTATACATCGTAAATTGAATCGTCTTTTCGATGGTAGTAACGTACCAAAATCATATAATAGAGTAACGCTCTACTCTCTCTGTTTCATTATACCAGAAACAAGACGGCAAACATGTCGAGATTAACAATCATCAATACAAATTGCTGTAAAACGAATTCATTGGTCCATAATCGTATTAACATCATTCCAATGAGAAAATCTAAAACCCAACAACATCATTCCTTGCAAAATAAAATCGCGACCATCCGCTGCTTATACTCGCACCTATTTTATTCGTATTCATACATTTACACGATCGTAAAACGTGTGTTTTCATTATAATACGTAGTGTAGGTTAGTATAGGTATATATGTTGTGTATCTACACGCGCACTTTTCGTGTGCCAGCTCCGCGCCTGACAGTCTCGCAGCACGATTCTA